AAAAAATATTTATATATATATATGAAAATTTTGTGAAATTAAATTCATATATAATTTGTTTATTTTATAACTTAATTGCTTTGTAATTTTTGTTAAAATAAAATAAAATTTTGCACAAAAATGTTTAAGTAGTATTATTCATAAACATTGTTTTTAGATATGTTTTATTTAATTACCGATATTATTTTTAATTATTTAATATTATTTATATGCATTGCAACACATACTTTATTTTGTAACTTTTAGGTAATTCAAAAAAAAAAATAAATAATTAGTTATACACTTATGTTTTATACTAATAACAATTTAATTAAGTAATATATACAAACCTATATTATTAACTGTTGTTCTTTTTTATATAAAATAATTAATATTGCTTATTTACTGTAATCATCAGACAAAAACCAATTAATAGTTACTATTATTAAGTGAAAAATGCATTTATAACTCAACTCGAATCAAAAGTAAAATTTTAACGAAGGTTTTTATTTTTAATTAAATCTGAAATTAATTTTAAAACTTTTTAAAAATGAACCTTTTTGAGCATTATTTGTAAATTTCATAAAAAAAAATTATTTACCTTATATGTAAAGAAAAAAAATTATGAAAGAAAATATTTGTAACAAAATATTATAAAAAGGCCTGTAAAAGTAAACAAATACAAAAAATAAATTAATTCGAATTATATATATAAAAATAAATACTTTTTGTTTGAATTTATTGTATTGATTATACTAATGTAACAAATTATAGCTTTAGATCTTATATAAACAATGAGACTAAGAACTTAGTCATGCCAAAAACATAAATGAAAGCTTAAGCAAGGATTGCAATTTTAGCAATCAATCCTTATGCCTAGCTGTTTCACTTCTATCAACTAAGCGCTCAAATCTCACATTACATACCTTTATCTTCCCAATTAAACTCTCTAAGTTTAATTGGTTCTAATAAGTTCTGCTTAATAAGCAAGAACTTATCGACTCTGTAATTTTGATAATCAATCCTTATCTCTAGCTGTTTCACTTCTATCAACTAAGCGCTCAAATCCCACTTAACATGCCTTTATCTTCTCTATTAAACTCTCCTAATAAATATAGCATAGAAAAAATTCTTGTTTATCTAAGAAAATCAAAATACGCCCTGCAAATCCTGGAAACAGCCTACGAACATAATACAGACATCCGAGTATAGCTATTTTGTGGATTATAACGCAACTTTCGATAGTTGCTTTATATTCCGCATAAGACTGCACTTTTATCCCGTTACGTCTAAGCTTGGTATCGGTAGAATCAAGTCTATTCAAAGCTTTGCATATCATACTAGTCATATGATCTTTTCAATTTCGTCATAGAAGTGATTATATATAAAAGTGGTTTTGATCTTACTGGGACTGACGACTTGTATATCGTTGGACATAACAAACATGATGTTACTCATGCCTTTGCTGCAACATAAAAGGAATCTGAGAAAATGAACTTAACAGAGAATGAGAGCAAAACGAAATATATTTCGTCCACCAGCAGTAAGATATGGCAATGCCCTAATGAACAACCTGTAGATTAAACAAAGAATAACTATTGTCATAAGGTACTACTATGGTGTTAGTAGACAATTAAGGTATTTGTCTGTCTAGACTAATAAAACTTACGCTCTATAAATCCCTCATCCAACTTTAACTGTTGCATTGCGTAGAAGCATGTACATTATCATAGAATGATCAATCAGTACTGAGGGTGTTTAAAACAAAACTTTTTCGCAAGCTCTTGTCTGCTGTACAATTTACCCAAGACTACCGATTGCGAGTGAATCACGGGCTTTACGACTTTTAGCACGACATTAATATAACTCAGTAAATAAATAGAGAGTTTGCTCAATTGGTCATGTCATGAGAAAGGACAATGATGCTCCAGTGGTAAAGTTATTTGCAGCGACAGTTTAAGAGACAAGATGTTGATGAAGATCGTATACCCAGTGGAGTAAACAAGATGAAGAAGCACTTACTGCACTTGATGTAAGAATTTGGAGAATGTATGTACGCAGCAGAGGCGCTTGGAGAGACAAGCTGCGTCAGGCTGGAAATCGATGACGGACTTGTACCGGATGGATAAATAACTAACT